GCTGCTGTGCACAATTACATGCAGCAGCTGTCCCTCCCAGGTTTTGGTCTTTTTATGGGCGTGCACGCCATACACACATGTACGCCCCACTGAATGAGCCCTAATGGAGTCACCAGAGCATTATGTGATAACATGTTGTTAACTGAGGTATCTATCTAATGTTCCCTGGGAGGAGGAACAATTATACTCAAACTGATCAACTTTTGTTTCAACAGATGACAGGTCCTTCCAAAAAGCGCTCCAAAACGCGCATGCGTCGCACGTTTACAATGTACAAAAACGCGCTAAAATCGCGCTTTAAAACGCGCAAAACGCCAGTAGGAAAACGCGCATATGACGCGCTTATGAAAAACGCCCAGGTGTGAATGGGCTGTAAAGCTGATAGGAAATGTTTTTGCAACCTAATAAGTATGTAACTCTGTAACTAGAGATATACAGTATGTCTTTATCATTATAGTGCTAAGAACCATTTATGATGAATCATTGAATAATGACAACATAGTAGCTTCCTATTACACAGTAATATATATTTCCTGAGTGTTACCATTGTGGTAACAAAAATAGATAGATATACTGTATATGCGTGAGTTGATAGGGTGAATGTTCTACTGTATTCTTCTCTCTAAATAAATACTAGGTGCCATACAGATAGAAATGTCTTACTGCTGAAACAAACATTTTTTTTGCATCTATGTGGACTTCACACAAAGAGAAATCTCACATCTTATTCATGCTACATATCATTTATAGTATGTGATCCAACCAGTTGCTTTCAGGCACACAATATACATCCTCAAGCACACAAAGAGCTCTAAGATCGCACAGCAGACAATCAGTACATACATGCTTACCATTCATTCCCTTTCTTTGAGAGAAAAGGGAACGTGAATATGATTTGGAATGTGCCACATATGTCTGTTGTCTGTGTTGGGGAAACTATCATAGTATGTTACAGATCAGGTTGTAGTAAGGCAAATCTTCACCATCTGTTATTCCTGGAGAATATTTACTCGCCTAGGTCCAGCCCAAGTTGATGTATTTGCCCAGTAACTACGGTATTATTACTCTACTTTAAAGAGATTTTTCATTTTCATTAAATATTCTCTACACTTGCCCCACTGCTGCAGATCAGCAGGAATGTTTTGCCCCAAACCCCTACCAATCAGCAGTACTCTGGTAACCACCATTTGAAGTTCCTTGGCTAATTTTAATGCCATATGAAACCCACTGTTTTTTTTTATTGTTTTGAAGGCTGTATGGTAGTCATGTGATACAGCTATGTCAATACCTGGTATCTTCAGAGCTCACAGTGCTATTAAAAGAGTTGATAGGACAGTCTGATAAGGGAACTTCTATAATTTAGTAGTGGTTAGGTTGAAGCTTTTGTCTTCCTCTCATTACTTTATGCTTATGAGTCAAATATTTCTCAAACTGATGTTAGAAAGATCCATAGGGATTCTAGGAAGCTATTTCACAAATCAATTTTCTGATGATCCAGATGTGACCTGCAGGATGCCGGCTTTGCAGTCTTGTTAAATGTATGCACAAAGCGGAACCTATGAGAGGGTCTGATCAAATATATTCTAAACACCAATAACAGTCTCTAACCTCTATAAGATTTTCAACACTGTCAGGTGTGGAGGACTAACTGCGTCATAAATACCAAATGAAAAACTATATGTCAAGAGGCTCCCACTTTGAAAAAATTCGTGAGTCCTACAGCATCTGAACCCCCACTTCCATCCAACAAAAATATCAATTTGATAAATTACCATTTAATAAACCACACAAATATAAATAACCTTAAAAACCTTCATGCATGCATGTATCTAAACCACCCCCACCTCGTATCTCATCTATCTAGGGGGAATGCGGTCATGCTCCAAGCTAACACGTTGGCTGATCATGTAAACTCTGATGAAGGCTGTTTCAGATGAAATGCGTTAGCTTGAAGCATGACTGTATTCCCCCAGATGGATACCATACATGCCTCTCTTGCCGTTTTAATAGATTCAGTTACACCATGGTCATGATCAGACATTTCAATATACAGAGATATGGTGAACACGGAGTGGCCTAATGGAGCTGACTGGGGTAAGATCTGGACATGGCTTTATGTGGATATAACTATTATCTCTGTAGGTTGAAATCGATGGACTTGTGTCTTTTTTCAACCTGACAAACTATGTAACTATGTTTGAAAGAAAGGATATGACTTGCTTTTAAACAACATGATGATCCATCTAGATGACAGGTTGGTGGATTTGTCACGTGGATGAGAAGGACATGGAGATGTTGCAGTAATCCATGTATGTCACAATTGAATGCAAACTTTGTATATGGTCCACATTACGGATATATCAATGGGCATACGTGCAATAGGGTGCCTGGCATGAGCGACACCTCTAGATGTACATCTATACAGTCTGTCACAAAATATCTCACTTAGGAGCCCTAACATTTACACTAGCCACCATGCTATTATGATTGATGCCCTTGGTGCTCCTAATATTTTTGGACTGCAATCTGTTCTCATCAACGTTATATGAATTATTTATCAGTGTTGCTGCTATACAGTAGATGAACTATATGAGTATGGTTGATATGAACTCCTATATTTGATAGCTACACATCTGGATATAGAATGGCTGGCGGAAGAGGCTCTTTTGCCATTGTATTTTATGCTATATAATATATGCAATACAGATATGAGGTCATTCATCTGATCTTGGGGGTTCAGATGCTGTAGAACTGTCTGATGTTATGTTGGTAGCCTCCTGACATATAGTTTTTCCCTTTGCAGTCTTGTTGTTTGCGAAAAGGTGTATATGGCAATAACTAAATCTACTAAATAGTTATTTGTAAAATTGAAAAGTTTAAATATTTGGATCGATTTATTATGAATACCCACATCTAAAAATAATACATTTAATAAAATCAGTAATAAGGCTGTTAAAGCTAAGCACCTCTGTAAATACAGTTCACCAAAACTGATTTGGAGCAATACAAATGGGTTAGATCACCCAACAACCTCATATATGTCTGTCTTGGTGTCTCATGGGGAGATTCCTGCACTTGCATACCTATGGCACAATGTACAAGGGGGTCTAACTCCCCTTCTTGGATTTTCCATTGTTGCAACTGATCAGGAAGATTCTGAGAATGCACTCGCATGTCCATTTTTATCTCTTCCTGTGGCTTGTACAAGGGGGTCTTACTCTCCTTGTTGGATTTTCCATTGTTACAACTGGGCAAGATGATTTTGAGAATGCACTCGCATGCCCATTTTTTATCTCTTTCTGTGGCTTGTACAAGGGGGTCTTACTCTCCTTGTTGGATTTTCCATTGTTACAACTGGGCAAGACGATTTTGAGAATCCTCTTGCTGCAACAAGAGGAGTCAGACATTGTGGATAGGGGTGAAAATCCAGGATCTCCAGCAAGATGATCTCATCTCGATGATTTCCAAGGGTCGAAAAATATCTGTTGGGTGAGTATATGCGCCATAATCTATCTACAATCAGAACAATTAACATAGACTTTTTAGGTCTATTGTAAGACTTTTTAATTGAAGAACAAACATGAAAATACAAATTAGTTGGGCCAAACGAAAGTATATGATCCAGTGGATTTAGAGAACGATACAATGATAATGCACAAGCATCTTTGTCTTGGTCTCCTAAGTGCATTGCCAAAGCACTACAGGATGATTTTTTTGTTTTTAAACACTGTGTAGTGAACATAAAACTTTGCTACACAGAAAATGTGTCGGCATAATTTTTTGAGGTAAGAATTTACGTTGGAATTCGCTCTATTCCCCCCACAAAAACAAAAAAACTGCATATACAGCTGAACACATGAAATGATACGCACACACTGTGAAATTACTGTCAATGCAGGTTTCTTAACAAATACAACTGGAAACATAGTTATCAGAAATAAAAAGGCAGGTAAACAGTGTACAATAAATAATAAGGAAACACAAAACATACTTTATTTTTTCCATTTGTTTATACAAAATAAGTAAATGTGAAGCCCAGAAGCTTCTTAAAATTATAATACAGCAAAAGGGGCTTTTCCTTCTGCCCCCTTCTCTTGTCTCCCAGATAAAAGTTTCAGTACTGGGATTTTGACAAAAAATAAACAGAAATAACCCTGCAATATTTTTGTACATCTTCTGTGAGATGTTTGTCTGATATAGGTAACATCTTGCCATTGCTAAAATCACTGAGCAAGAGACTAATCCTATAGTTACCACCAGAGGGCAACCTAACACCATTCTGTGATGTACATCAAAGAGACCACTTTAAACCTCTATAACTAGTCTCTAGATTATTTTATACTCTCCCTCGCATTTCATCATCCAAATATAAGAACATAAGGTTCATGTATTTGACACCCATTTCTTATGCAGTCTAGGCTAATGCCAGCTAAGAATTTAATCAATGCAAAAGCTTGGAGTGAGAGCAATACCTAAATCCAATCCTTTGCATTAGCATGTACATTTCGGGCTAACAAATCTTATTGCTTCAAATAACTGCCCATCATCACAGCTGATGTATAAGAAATAAAAGTTGTTTTTCTTTTTTATAACCAAAATGCTATATTTCAAAGGCCTTTGGTCATCTGACCACAGTAAGATTTTGTGCCTTATATGGTTTGTATGTTTCGAAGGACAGTATAGAATATCGCTTGGAGTTTAGGCTGAGTGTTGATAGAGTAAGTACCAAATGGTTCCTAAAGAGCATATTTTGGGCCTGGCCTGGCTCAGAAAGACACACATTTTTGAACATTAGAAAAGGAAAATTGGTCCCAATCCAGGTGACAGACTAGAGGCTTTTAAGTAGGAGAACTAAGGAGGCAGTTTATTCTTAAACAGCAGCCATGGAGGTGAATTTTGGTTTTGGCGCCTTGTTGGTCCCAATCATCTCCCACATCCAGATAGGTTGTCCAATGTTTTGGATGAGTCAGAAGGAGGCAGGCTGGAAGTCCATCTTATTATGTCATGGAGGCGGCTTTTGGTTTTTGTTAATACTACTTGCTTTTGGTTTTTCTCTTAAGCCAAGATGTCAGAAAAAATGTTTATTTTAAGCTCAGCAGGGCAAATTAAGTTGCGGAGCATAAGGTGCTCCTGGTCCTTTTGTCTTCTACCCTTTGTAGGATCAAGTCTTTGTCCAATCAACTTCAAAATATGAAATCAAATTCAAAGGAATGTGTATGGTAGTCTGTAAAGACAGTACATTCATTTGCTGTTTATTACCATACTGTGCCCTCATTAATGTCAGGGTTCTGATGGGGTAAAGGACCACTAAACCCACTATTGCTAGACATAGAAAATGGAGGACTTGGACCACTGCTGAATACTTCTCCAGTGATGGGATGCAAAGACCCAGTCATGCCAGGCTCTGGGCTGGGTGTATCTGGGTGAGATATCATGTCCGCATATCTTTGGTTTTCCGAAGGGTGGTGACCACCTAGTGGTGGTTCAAGAGGGCCAAGAGGAGTAGAGCCAGGCCCTGAATTCTGTAGGTAGCTGGAATCTGCTGGAGACTGTGTCTGGGAGGATGGAGGCCCATGAGGGAAAAAGTCATAATTTCCACTTCCATAATAATCCCCTTGGTAATCTGTAAAAATAGTGAAAGTAGAAAAAAAACTGAGAATAGATGTGGTTTTATATTTGTACACACTAAACATCTAAATGCTCATGTTAAATGACCAGTAAGCCAACAACAGAATTCGAAAGAGGTATGTTTGGCCATGATTATGCATTGCATAACCTACACTTTGCTTTTTAACCTATTTTCTTCCAGCAAGTTTCCTTGTACATATGTTAGTACAGCATAGCCTTTAGCTTGAGGAGTCCTAAGCTCATCTTGGTGACTGTAGTGCATGAGATAGTGGCAGGGAGCAGCTCTTTTGTGTGTTTCTTTGTGAATATATAATTTATTCTGTCAATGCGCAAGAGTGCTACAGATAAAACCAGCCATAGGATTACAGAGCAGATGACAAGCATATGAAAACTACATGGAGAAGAAAAGACAAAAAGAATGAAAAGGGGTAGAACCCACAGCGAAACCAGAACTTGCTTTGCATTAATTAAGACAGGAAAGGTGAGAAATTCAGTTTTTTTTTCCTCACAACTTTCCTAGGCAGAAAAACCTGTTTTATTAAAAAAGAAATGCAACAATTTAAGTGAGAAAATACTTTGCTTGAGGGTAAGACTGGCAATATCCAGTATTTTCTATTCAACGATCACCATACTAAATACATATATGTGTGATATGTGTGTGTTTGGCATAAATAAATGTTATATATATATATATCGTATATATCGTCCCAAATCTCATGTAACTATAGGTAGCATGTCTGTTCATTAGCTATCAATTGAAAGGCCAAGTATCTTTGCGTGATATAGACAAAGTTCAGTATAATTTTTTAGAATACTGGCATTCAGCAGTGCAATGAGAAAAACACCTCCCATAATACAAGCTCGTCTCAGGTCAGTGCCCTTATACCCTAATTAATGGTAAATAATAAGGCAAACACTTAGCAGAAATAAATCACACAGCAATCAGAATGAAACCCATTTGTAAGTGTGGCAAAGCATTAAGTATGCAGAGGTTTCTGCGCTGCTTGAGGAGGAGCTGGAGAATACAAAGATGCTGGGAGGGAGCAGATGGGAAAATAATTACTTTTGAGGCTACTTATTGCACAATGAAAAAATGTACTATGAATGAATGGAAACATATCATGTAACACATTACTGGCACAACAACATAAGTGATTTGTAATCTAAAATAGTTATAAATTATGAGGTTGAAAAATATACACATAATTAAAAAAAAAGTATTTTTAGTGAAAAAAAATCTTTATTTTTACAGCACCAAATCAAATGCAAAGTAGGACAGAGTCTGAAAAGAACCACGGGCCAGATTTAGTATCCTTTTAATTGAATTTGCCACTAAATCACCTACTGGAGAAGGAATAAAGCCACATATTTGGATTCTTTTGTTTTGCTCTTTGCTTAGAATGAAAGAGCCGATTCTGTAATCTCTTGACATACAAATCTATTGAGGGCACAGAATGCACTGCTCTTGGTAAACAGACATCCCCATTCATACAGCTCAAAGAAACAAGACACATCTAACTTGTAACAGATCACAAAGACATGGGAAGGGGGGTGATGTATGGAGAAGAGAAGAAAATCGGAGATTCAGGGGAGGCGCAGAGATGTATAAAAGACTGAATGAAGAAATATACATTAGATGCAGGGGTGGGAAACACTTAAAAAGAGGGCAGGCGAAATTGGGTAAAAGGAGGGAATCAAAAACGAGAAAAAGAAGAAGGGAGAGAAAACATTTTTATATATACCAGGGGGATAATTTATTATATTTCTAGGTTTTACAGCAACTCAGCTAATACATCCTGCACTCCTGCCCAAATCAGACTATGATGTATAATTGAAAATGTTTTTTACACCCAATATACATCTACATATAGCCAACGTTGTGGTAGGATCATAGGCTATGAAATACAGGTACCACATTGACACAGTAGTGTATTGATGATAGAGAATGGTGAGGAAACCACACAGAAAATTCCAGCTTTACTGAAAACCTTTTCAAAAGGCAGAGGGGTTGTACAATTGTCTCTTGCCCACTTTTGTATCCCACCTACTGGATGGGTATTATCCCAATGTCTTACAATTGCTAGTTTTAAATAAACTAGCTTGCATCTAATATATTGAGGTGTCTATAGTTCTCGGTACTAGGAAATGTATAGGGTTTTCCCAATATGACTGAATGTTGAAAGCAAAACAAGGTTTTCTCAGTTATGTTGGTGATACCATACTTAATTTGTGGTAGTGATGACAAAGTTAGGTATTGTGTCATCAACATAACTGAGAAAACCTTGTTAAACTTTGCCAGGGATAGTTAGCCGATGAAGGTAAGGTGAGAAATAAGCAGTGCATGGGTGCTGTAAAAAAAATGAGTTGGCTATAGAAATTTATAGAAACTCCAAGGAGAATAATTATGGATTTTAGATTCTGCATGGTGTTTCTGGCTAAAAGAACGAAACAATTTGGGAGAGCAAAAAGTTGGAGGGGGTACTACAAGGTGAAGGTCATTTTAAAGATAGATCTTTTAACAGGTTTTAGAGCAATAAAGCGTTTAGTAAATAAATTGTAGATTTAGGAAAAATACTGAGAATGTGAAAATAGGTTTTTACCACCCAGAAAAATATAATGTTGACAGTAATGACACAGATCGTGTCTATGATTACAGAGGATTTAAAGAAGCTGTGCTAATGATAAGTGTCAGGATGTTTTGTCAATGTTCGTGCTCCATCTAGAATCCCTCTAGTGTATATTATGAGTTTATTAGCATGACTTTTGTCCATAATGTCTTATATAAAGAATAAAGGTGAAAGACAAAATGTGAGAGAAGGCCTTTGTTATACCTTTCTGTCGGTTCATAATACAAGTGACAGCAAAGGCGTACAGATGCGAAGAGGAAGAGAGGATAAGAGATAAAAATATGAGCAAGAAGTTAGCAAGGAAAGATGAGAAAGAGAGGATTGATATCATCCACCACTGCATTTTACTGCTCTGGGAGTATTATTAATTCGTGGGTTTAGGGGCACATGACACAAATTATAATTGCAGTTGGTAAATTGTGAATCAGAGGAAGGAGAAAACAAACAGAGAAAGGCAGGGTACCCTGCTCTCTCCAATCACCCTCCATATGTTCCAAGAATGTGAAGGTAATTGGAACAACTGTTGTCTGAATAAGGTACAAAGAAAGCAGCTGTGCTATTGTCCCCTACAACACTACTGAGAGAAAGAGAGACAGAGAAGAGAGAGGGGAGTAAAGGAGGGGGTGCTGAAAGAGGGGAGAACAGGAAGATGAAGAGCAAGCAGTGGGGTGAACCAGGAGTGGGCATGTCGCCTCCATAATAACACACATTACTTTTTACTTGCCGCGCTGTGAAAAGTTTAATGGAACGGGGAAGGAGACTTTTAAAGTAGTGGTGTGTAGTAAGAGAAGGAGGTGGTTATAGTGGTGGTTAGAGGATTGAGAGGGAAAAGGAGATTAAGGAGTCCTCAGGAAGAAACCTTGTGAAAATCCTTCTCTTGGAGGCTTTGCAATCATTTAATCTTTGAAAATGAGGTTTCTGGGTAGGGCAAAGGTATTTTAGGGATAAAGAAAACCAAAATCCTCTACTATCCCTTAAATAGGCACTGAAAGGGGTCAACTTGAGAAATGTCATGCATCACACAGAAAAATGTGCTTGCATTATTGACCCCTTTAGCGAAGAAGATGTTACAAGGTTACTTAGCTTCAGTTTGATAAAGCATACAGGCACACTGGTCTACTATTACATTATACAAAACAGGCATCTAGTTGTATGTATTTTTACCTAAATGTTTTAGGAAGTCATTATTTTCCACTGAATCAAGGAGGCAATTCTAAACGGGCAACTGCACTAAAATTTTAGCAGCCATGAGTTTGATTCCCAATTAAAATGATTGTCCTTGCTGAATGATATCTTGCAAAATCTGTTCCTATAAATTGGACAGGTTTTCCAGCATGCTAGCAGATTTCTGCAGGGGCTATTCTAAATGCAAAAACGTGCTGTGGCTCAATTACCTTTGCAAATTATGATTAACAATAGTGAGTAATCCTTGCTTTTTAAAACCAATATTTCACTATTGTGGGGGGTGAAATCCATCTTATAACCAAAAATAACACTCCAAGAGCCATCAAAACTCACTGTGTAGGTTGTGATCCCACATTACCTTGGGTCAGGGGTAGCAAACCTCCGGCCCTCCAGCTGTGGTGAAACTACAAATCCCATGATGCATCTCTCTTCGGGAGTCATGTCTGTGGCTGTGAGAATCTTTAAATGCCTCATGGGATTTGTAGTTCCATTTACATTATACAAAACAGGCATCTAGTTGTATGTATTTTTACCTAAATGTTTTAGGAAGTCATTATTTTCCACTGAATCAAGGAGGCAATTCTAAACGGGCAACTGCACTAAAATTTTAGCAGCCATGAGTTTGATTCCCAATTAAAATGATTGTCCTTGCTGAATGATATCTTGCAAAATCTGTTCCTATAAATTGGACAGGTTTTCCAGCATGCTAGCAGATTTCTGCAGGGGCTATTCTAAATGCAAAAACGTGCTGTGGCTCAATTACCTTTGCAAATTATGATTAACAATAGTGAGTAATCCTTGCTTTTTAAAACCAATATTTCACTATTGTGGGGGGTGAAATCCATCTTATAACCAAAAATAACACTCCAAGAGCCATCAAAACTCACTGTGTAGGTTGTGATCCCACATTACCTTGGGTCAGGGGTAGCAAACCTCCGGCCCTCCAGCTGTGGTGAAACTACAAATCCCATGATGCATCTCTCTTCGGGAGTCATGTCTGTGGCTGTGAGAATCTTTAAATGCCTCATGGGATTTGTAGTTCCACCACAGCTGGAGGGCCGGAGGTTTGCTACCCCTGCCTTAGGTGGACTTGAAGATGCATTCAGAGATTGTATCTATTAGCTAACTAAATATTGGGGAGATGAGAGCAAAGGGCTCGCCTTTATATATTTACATTAAGAGATTAATTAATATATTGGATAAAATCCCTTTAACATGAGCAGTACATGAATTAGTTTATTTGCTGTAAAATATAATTTAGTATATGGTTACCCTTACAATGGAGTGCCTAATGCTATTTCATTATGAAATATATCTGTAGGGCCGCAAAGATCCAGCAAAATAAACATAAATACTACTGGCAAGCAGTCTTCAACTGTCCAGATACAAAATAATATTTCTGCATAGTACAAAAGCTGTAGATGTTGTTCCCCTTTCTAAACACTTGAATACTGATTGCAGTACCAATGTGGTATCACAGGTGTATGTAACCTATTCACTTTACTCTTGTTGTTGATGATGGATCTCTAACAGCTGATCACTGGTTCAGTAAGAGAAGATGAGAAGTTTGTTATTTGAATTGGTTGTATTACTCTGTGCTGAGCGAAGAACAGGCATAATACCCTATTATTGTCTGAGGGCAAAATGAATGGTATACTCCCTGATGTCTGCATAAAGACAGGAGTTCTATGTCCTGGTGTTCATGTATTAAGTGGAGACAAGACATAAGTGTCCTGATTAGGGTATTTCCTAGTATAACACAAGATGAGAATCTAGGTGCCCTTGTTACCCTCCAGGACCAGTGTAGCATTCTCATCTTGCTTTGCACTCCAGCCACCGTACAACAATATGGACCCTAAATAAATGATCTATATAAACAGATGCAAGTGGCGGCAGGACCTGGTAATAGGGGGTAACTTGAGGATGCAGTAGTGGCAATGGTAATATAATGCACATAGTCTTGATGTCTGCATTTTAGGGATATTGAAGAGATGTATAATTTCCTGAGGTCTGTCCTAGGAAGAAGTGAGTTTTATGTATGCGTAGGAGATGAAGCATGTAGGTCTGTGCCAATTGCGATACGGCCTATTGCGGACAACTGTGTGATTATTTAGGTTTGTGAATTGGGTGTCCATTATTGACCCTTTTTTTTTTTAAGTGCAGACACCTTTAAGTTTAGCATCTAGAAAAATGACTCATTTCCCATTTATAACACGCATTACCATTTATTAAAAACAGTGGGAAAAATGCTAAATTAGATTTAGCAGAAATAAAAAAAATAATTACACATAAAGTGACACAGCCAGACTGATCAAATAAGTCATGGTCCATTTTGTAAGAACTTGCATCAAGAAATTAGGTTTTCACCAATAAGGATCAACAGCGAATCTGCCCTCCATTTTACAGGTGGTATCCCAATCAGCTGAGCATCTTCTGTCTAAAAGGATATCACACTCAGACTGTAGGTTACCTCCATAGTAGCTGTAAGGGCCAGATGCAAGAATGTCTGACTCATCCAGCCTTCCTCCTAATGGACGCATACGTCTTGGGCTCCTGAAGAAAGCGTGCCTTCGTGCACCTAAAGCACTCAGCTGTTTCATTCTTCTCTCCTTGGATCTTCTGTTTTGGAACCAAACCTATAACAAAATATTAGAGAAAGGCATTTAAACAAAAGTCTCTAAATTCATGGGCTGTAATTAATGATAAAGTAGACAAATACACCTGTATCTTCTTAAGTAGAACCTATAACCTTGTACCCAGGTATAGATATATTGCATGTGTACAGCAGAGGGGTAGGCTAGAGATAAGTGAACTAATCTGTTGGCTTCCACATCTGACCCAGATCTGGCGGATTCTCAATCAGCAAATGTCTGTGGCAAATTCTAGGCAATGCCCCAGAAGATTTGCAGGTTTTCTTCTTGCCAACTTCTTAAAAGTTTCAAAGCTGAACTTCTGAAAATCATTAAATGTTTTTCACATCTGGCTGCCAAAAGTACCTGAGTCTCACTCTTGATACAAGCCTCTTGTAATACTGTATTCTGTACTCTAACATTGGTAGATGGGGGGCCTGCAACATCAACCAATTAAACTCTACAACATTGCATAGTCCATCTAACAGTGATTATAAGAAAGAGCAGGGTGATGGCCTTGTTGGTATGCTGCTGTTGGTTCACTGTCCAGTCACAATTTAAGGGGGTGGATAATGGAGCAGGTTATATTGTCAAAATGCAGGGTCTACAAGCATATCAAAAGGAGTGCAGAAGCATATATTCATTGCAAAATATTTTTTGCTGTGTACTTGGAGTTCACCCTCCAAAAAAACTGATGCAAATGATCTGTCTGTCTTCACTACATCATGTCAGGTCTTCCTCTTTATTTGTGAAAAAGAAAGGTTAAACTATAGTAAGAAGTCCCTTACTCAGTTACCTCCAACTACAGGCTAAGTGAATCTTATTGAGATTATAGAACTTGAAGCACTGCGGTCTGAGAGTTACCCTTTTTCCAATTCCCAAAGCACTGGAAACTGGTAAATCTCTGCTCCAGTCACTATATTGATTTTATATGAGAATAAATGTAGGGCCAAGCTTTGCCTACAAAATGTAGCCCTTTCAAAAGTTGCATCGTGGTGTTCGGATGCAATGGACCCATTATTTTTCATCATGACAAGGGAAATCATCTTCAATATCCCCTTTCCCAACTCCTCCTTAAGGACCCATAGTTGTGTGGAAGAGTTGGTGCCCATCACAATGTACATGATCCCAGTTTTCTTACAATGGGGATACAAGTTCATTTACAAAAGCTGTAAAACAGGATTCAGAAGGTCTAGAGAAGAGGCTTATTGTTTATTGTTGATTATCATAGCTGCTCTATAATAGGACAGGAACCAAATTAGGAAACTGAAAATGTCAGAGGCACAGCATAACAAGTGACACAGGCAATGTTCCTGTGAACTGATGCAGTGTAGGTCAGTAATATGTTGGATGATATCTGGCGTGAATTGGTAATTGAGTGGAGGTCTGTGGTAGCAAGATAATGGGGTACACCTAAGCAGAGCTTGCAAGTATCCAAGCAGCTAGCCAAAAGGATACGGTCATAAACAGGGCAGCCGTTATTATTGGGGGCTAATCCTTATTTGTGTACAATAGCTGTGCTCTATTTTTGCTACCACTGCTTGTGCACAAAGATCAAATATTATATTGGTAGCTTAGAGCATGAAGACTATTTTAATTTACATTGCATGTTAACCCTATCAGTGAACTTCTGTTATTTGCTCCCTTTTGGTCTGTTAAACATACCATTCACAGCAATGTTGACTTTGCTTGAATCCAGTGCACTCTGCAGTTTTATCCTGAGCACTGTAATCAGCCCTGCCCAGGTCACCTATGTTAACTACAGAACATCTCCTCCCTATGTTATAAAGATGAGGAGAGAGAAAGGTACTCTGTAGTCCTAATACTTTCCTGTTCTAGGATGTCAATTCTGCTTTACTATAGATTTAGTAATGAGTGCTGTCATCCTTGGACAGGAAGTGTGTTACTGGCATAACAAGATGAAAATATAGGGAAAAAGGCCAGAAAGAAGAAAACTAAGGCAGCCAATACACCTACGGACTTGGAAAGCTGCAATATATTAGCAGGTAACAGCAGAGGATCAGATAAACATTTCCAACCAACAAGATCTTCTGTCAAGCAACATTAGCATACCAAGCTTTGTGATTGTCTGTACCCAATAGTGTGTTATGTGATGATGCTGTCATGTTTTCTACCTTGAGGAAGGGACCCTGCGCGGCCCCGAAACGTCGGTTTTTTTAATCTCTATGACGCCTCTGTCCAATAAAAGGACAAATTTGCTTTCATTACTGAGTGCTGGTGATTCCCTGCTTTTTTCTGTGTCTGCACGGCGCCATCCGTGAACCAATGTCACTGCGAGCACCATCCTTTCTTAACTGGCCGGGACTGTTGTGAGGTGTGCGGAGGGTTCCCCCAACGATCTACATGTGATGATGCTGAACACTTGTATCCTAGAATCTGTCAATAAATGAATATCTAAGCCCCTGTTCACACCTGTGTGATGTAACATCAGTGCACGTGCGGTGCAGCATGTTTTTAGTGTGTTGCGGTAGGGCATTCATTTGAATCATTCATTTAAATCCCACTTATTTGAAATCATACTGACCCTTATTTGAAATCATACTGCAATGCATAGTGATAAGTTACCATGCAACACACGTGCACACACATAATATTCATTTTATTAGGCACAAAGTAACATTACAATATGTCAGTACAAATTGAGCATGTTACCATCCTACAATTTCAGCCCTTGCGCTCTATCATTTATTGTGATGTTATATTGTACCTAACAGAGACATACACATATATCTGCAGATTTTGCTGTGATGCAAATGTTTCACAAGGAACCATATAGCTGATTTAGATGCTGTTGTTCTTAAGAAAGCATCTTGCCTTTCATTTGAATTGCTCTTCTTTTGTCAAATGTGTCACATGCTGCATTGTTTCTAAGCAGCCTCACTGCAACATTAAAAAAATCCTTTTAAATAAAGACATTTTTCAGTCACCTAGGTGAACATAGAAAAGCAAATCATTTTTTATTCTACATGGAGAAATTGAAAGCTTTATAAATATATTCCCTTTTTGAAGTATGCAACATATACTTTTGTTCTCTTTTGGCTGTGTGGCACCGCGCTGGGCTGCACAGTGAAGATTGCTGGAATTGGGAGAAAGGAAAGTATTTAACAAAGTCGAATGTACTCAGGGGTGAGGATGGGCAGTTACAATAAAATAAGTTCGCTGAAACTAAAAGTGTATGTCAGGGGAAAAAAAACATACTTAGTACGTCTGTGAAGGTTCTCATTCACCCAGGCCAAATCACAGCAACTGGACATGTATTTTTCTTGAAGAGATTTTGCTGATTATCCAACTAGCTTTCTCAATTCAGAATCCATTCTGAATTGAGAAAGCTAGTTGGATGAAGCGCAAAAAGTCTTCAAGAAATATAGAACAAGTCCAGTTGCTTTGATTTATTTTTACAGATATAACATACTCAGTACATTTCTCCAATACAAGCATATGTCCCCATGCTTTATCTCTTTAAAAATTCTGCAAGTACAAAACGCCTCTTGTTCCTACCAGAACTCCATTGAGTTTCTAACTCACTAGCCCTGCCCAATTCTCTTCTGTGAACTGCAAAACACCACCCCACTATGTTATGGAGATGAGAATAGCACAGTTACAGTAAGTGAGTGAGCATTGTCACCCTACAACAGGATATGTGCAACTGGCAGAATCACCAGATGAAAACAAGAAATCTAAAAAAGATAACTAATGCAACCACCACATCTAAGGACTAGTAAACTGCAATATATAACTTTTTTTTGTTCTTGGGGGGTGCTTTACAAGCAAGTGGATAGGCTGCTGAATTTAAAGGCAGCTAAATGCAGCTGCACTCTGCTATGGGCACATACAGCTTGGCCAATTAGCCAGTTTGTGTGAGGCCAGAAATGCCACCCGTAGATGCAAAATGTCTAGTGCAGTAAGTTTAGTTATCATCGAAACTAGCCAACCAGATAACTCCCTATGTAAAAGAACATTTTGCTGGATATGTTTGAACCTTGATACTGCTTACACCTACTGATATCACATATGTTTAAAGTTATTTTTAATGTTGCTTCAAATCTAACTCAAAATATCACTCTTATTAACCATTCTTTATCACCTTTCCCACAAAGATGGATGATGACACATGCCCCCCTCCTCCAATGGTGCAGGCAAGGACACTTGATGTTGGATTGAGGAGCATAGATGGTTTGAAGTGGACCTGACCAAATAATAGCATGATGCAGCAATCATAATCTGTATCAGGCGTCTATTTAATAAAAATGAATAGAGTGAATAAAAATGAATTCTACAAATAAAGATAAACAGTTTGTAACAAGGGGCTACAGTAAATAAAAAAATAGGAAGGAAAAAGGAATATGAAACAGATTTAAAGGGGATCCGGCACGTATGATGCTACAAAGAAAAATGCACATATCTGAACTGTCTAATATGCCAAAAGAGTTGTTGTTATGTCCACCAATTTTGTGATCTATACACCCCCACAAGACAGTGTTAAGGAATATATTGTGGTCATCACCCCACCCTGCCTTTTACTTGTACAATAAGGGAGCTGCAGCACCCTGATAAGCATCAACCCTGATCGCTATCCTGCTATCTTCTCCTGGTAGCAGAACCTGATTAGATCCTAGTGTTGCCCTTCCCTCTCCCAGTCAGAGTTCTGCAGTACACGAGACAGAAGATGTTGCTCTCAGGACAGACTCTAGTACTTATTCTAGTTATTTTTAAAATGAATACAAAACTATGCTAAATGTTTTTTTTTTTTATATAGCTGCCCACAGTTATACAATAAAGATGAAAGGAAGGCTGGATCGCATGAAATACATATAAAATGTATAAAATATAACTTTTTTATTTTTGGGGATTAAATTAAATCACAAAAAGTTCAGGCTGAAATCACAGTGCAAAATACTGTATGTGTAGCACTGACCATAATATGCTACTTAAGTTATAATGTGCAGAATGGATTACATGAGGATGGGGTAAATATTGGTTTAAAAGGTTATTACAAGTAGCTCTTAATATATTCCGAAGACAGCGGAGAGCCAAAACTTTGGAAGGAGTACACATGCAATGTCAACTTATTGGTATATAAGCAAATACACATGCATTTAACACACATGCAGTTAAACAATACTTGCAGAGAAAGGGAAACTAATCCATCTATCTATCTATCTATCTATCTATCTATCTATCTATCTATCTATCTATCTATATATCTATCTATCTGTCTATCTTTATATACAGTATACACATGCACATGAGATAAAAATCCAATCAGAATGTGTTTAATTCACACTGGGTGATTTCCTTGTGTATGTCTAAAAATAGATAAAACATTATGCATGCATATACATGGAGAGAGAGAGAGAGTGAGAGAGAGTGAGAGTGAGAGAGAGTGAGAGATATGGTATAAATTATAATACAAACTTAATGTCACCATCTGGTCAAAGCAGATTGTTTATTTCAAAAGTCTTAGGAGTGCTAAAAGTATATAAAGTAGTTTAAATTTATATAAAGTATAAGATTAATAGAACAACTCCATTTAAAACTGATTGTTCAGCTATGACTATGCACAATGCCATTCATTAGTGAGAGTTTGCAGCAGTGACTTGTGTCCCTGCCCTTACCCACAATGACATAGATGTTACTCTCTGACAACTAGATTTGTCAGTTATTTGTTCAGTACACAGCTCAGTTTATCCACCCGGATACCATCACTTGGCTTTGTAATGGCTGCATTGTCTGGGGAGAAGTACAAATGCTGGTAGGAATATTTTGCCATTGAAGAGATATCAGCATGTGATTTACTTTGCCAGTAACCACCCGAAAATGAACTACCATTTCACTTCAGGGGTTATATGTAATGTGACTGTAATTTCAAACTAAGTGAGGGGCGGGGAAGCTTATAGATTACATACTTTGTGCCATGGTGTTGTTGAGGGTGAGATAATTACAAACCTTGAAATAGTTTCAGCCTTGAGGAACTGTGATGGCATTTTAAAATGTAAGGTCTGCAGCTCATCCCTTGACTAGGGTTGTGGCATGGCATCCCACCCCTAAAATGAGGGATTACTGAGAACTTTGGAGGAATTCTTACCGGGATAAGCCGCAAGAGCAGGAACATGAAAACCATCAAACATGAAAACCACTTTATCAAAAGCATCATATCCTGTACAAGCCCCTCTAAAGGGCTTATAGGATCCGGATTACAACTCTTTCAGGGGGATGAATGGGGACCCCCGCCTGAGAGACAAGGGAAGGACCTCACTCTTTTGCTGATGAAATGAGGATTAAAAAACACCAATCTTTTTCAAACTGAATAATAGGCAAAGACTTACAGAAAAAAAAAGGTATTGAGCTTTGAAAAAAAGGCTACAGAGAAAGTGAAAGGACCACAAAAAAACAAAACATGTAACTATAAAAGAGAGAGATCAAGCCTTGACGCTAAATACAGATGTACACCTGATTGTATATAACTAGACAAGATTAAAAAAAAAAGATCACTGTTCTTTATACTGTGTATTTGAAACTGTTTTCACTGTGTTCAATGCATTTAAGCATCTGTTGTTTTATAAAAGTAAATAAATAATTAAACAAATGACAGTATATTTTTTTTGCAGTGACATCTCATGCATGTGATTCCCAAACAGTATGCGCTATTTTACCAAAAGTGTGTGTTGTACAATTCAACCATTTGTGCAATTTTCAGTCACCTAATTGTTATCAAACCCTTGTTTCATCTCTGTTTGATTTATCAGGTCAAGTCACTGGAGATTAGGTAAAACACTGCCATGTTGCTGGGTTGCAATGCTGCTTGTCTTTACAACAATAACAGAACAGTGTGAGTTATACTCGCCTATGTGCACATTTGGGTAACAAGGCATAAGACAAAAAGAGTGGTTAATTGGATATGATTATGTGGTCACAAAGTGCCCAAAAAGCTGAGCTTTTACATAAAAATTAAATGGGGCTGCCCTAGCGGTAACAGTTGTGGCATCGATGTATTTTAGAATACTTATTGAAACCCCCGCCTGAGAGACAAGGGAAGGACCTCATTCTTTTGTGTGAGGTCATATGCTTGTGTTAAAAGTCAAAGTAGTCATTTTGTGGGAAGACGTGAATATTAACTTGACATGCTTCAGAGATGCCTCATTATATTGGTGGGTTAGATATTGGTTACAGCATCTGTAGAGTCAGCTGAGGATATCTCATATATGAGCTTCCTGGCTGGACAGTCTCTATGGGGGTGATTTAAAAATCATACACGCAGCCCCACTTCACACAGCATTCTCGCCACTAGATGGAGCTTAAGAGCATAGGAATTTCCTTGACTCCATCTAGTGGAAAGAATGCTATTCAGTCATTCTGACCATATCTTAGCCTACATTTTGACTGGATGGCTCCTCAAATATTGTTTTTTAATCAGTCTGACTTTAAATCAAACACTCTAAAAGAAACACACAGGGGCAAACATATAAAGTGCATACATGCATTCATTGTCCTTTGCCCCCATGTCTTAAAGAAGAACCTCATGCTTTGCAATATATTTACTAAGTTAAGTGAACATTCACTTTGCTAAGTGAACAGCCTCTACTACTACTACTACACCTCACCCTTATAAAATCCCTATATACTTCTTAAAAATTGAGCTTTAACTTCCTCACATTATACAGTGTATTGCTGAACACCTTCAGAACACATACATGATTCAAAACACTACATTATAAAGTCTTAGAACTAAACATTACAAGCTTCTATCATGTGCAGTCAATTATTTCAGAGTTGACATATACAAAGGAGAATCTACAGGTGATATGTCTATAAGCACACTT